ATATTACTCTTCACTGAAAAAAAAAAAAAAAAAAAAATCTCCAAAATCGAAAAGTAATTTCTTGCACGACATTAATTTCTTTTAAATTACGCATAATTGAAGTACGGACCACTCGAACTTGATCGATGATCGCTTCAATGTTTCGACTCCAGTCGAAACGTGCTTCGCGTCGAGCAAGTGAAATTTTCTATATAGCCGAGAGAGAGGCAAAAATATCGAAAACAACAACAAAAACTGAAGATTGCGCCATAATTATTTAATTTCTCGTCTTTGGCGTTGGTGTTCTGGCTGCTTCTCGCCATATGGGGCCCAATGGTTCTTGGCTGGAGCCCAGCGGCATTGACATTCAAATAAGACACCTGATATGATAGCCCAAGAGACTCGTAACTGTCATTCGATTTGCTTTTGCCTCACTCACCTCGCGCAGCTCTATCAGCGGATTGAAGCCTTGAGTTTTATATATATATGTATATAAGTAATTTATTTTTGGTGTATTATTTTGAAATTTGATTTTGATTTTGAGTTTGAGTTTGACTTGCCATCGTGCCTTCGTGGGCATTTAAGTCGTAAGCTATATACCCTTGCATGCTCTAACAATGGGTATAAGGGAATGGGTATAATGTTTGGAGTGATAAAGAAAATGTTGTATATATTTATTATAGGTTTAGATATTTTATTATATAATTAGCTAATTTTAGTATATAATACCTATACCAAATTAAGAGAATTATTCTATAATAGTCATGGATATCTATATATAATTTATAATATAATTATCTACTGTCTATAAAATTTATCTATCAATGTTATCTGTATTATTGGAAGAATATTGTATATAAATATGATAATTATATGCTATAAATTATTTAATCAAAATGTCATTTATTTGTTAGAGTATTCAATATTCGATAGATAATAGAAAAAGGTACTCTCTTTTTTTGTGGATTTTTCTCTGTTGTTCGTCTGTAATTTCATATGAAAGTTGTTGTTGTTGTTGCTGCTGTTGCTGCTGTGTTCGGAGCTGGCGCTGTTTGGTATTTAGTTATATTTTTGGCCGCTGCCTTTGTTAGTCTGCTAAGCGGATTTATTCTTACATCAGTTTAGTGTCACATTAGCGCTGTTGTGAAGTGCGACCCAGGCACTTAACCAATCCGCATGCCACAACATAACAAAGCACTGCTCATGGGGGCGGCAGAGCACATCACATCAATTCAATTCAATTCAGTTCAGTTCAGTACAGATCCGATCAGATCAGATCAGTCAAAATCTTTTGCTGACAAACACATGTGTGTGTGTGTGTGTATTTATATAAACATATAACATATATGAATGTATTCACTTCTGCATCTCCCTCTGCCGCATCGATTTCAGTTTTGGGCTGGCTTAACGCTCATAAAATGTTTCAGCAGAAAACAACTTATGAAAGTTTTTTATTTTTTATTTTTACTTTTCAATTCAAGCTTTTATTTCTTTATGACACTGAGATGCTATCTGTATTTTTGCATTTGCCAAGATTGGCTCGTTAAATTTCGCTCAAAGAGTTTCGATTCATTGCGTGATTCATAAACGCATAAAGATATTTTCAGAATCAATTCTTAAGTTTCTTGTTCCAAAGCCTGCATACAGCTCTCTTAATGAAAATAGCTGTGAATGTCTTTATAAATTTAATTTGAATTTGTTAATTGGACACGTGCTCTGAGTTTTATAGCTTCAACCCATTGAATATGGGAACTGAAAAAAGAGAAGTGAGACTCTATGAAGCTATATGAAGAGCTGAGGATCTTTGGCTATAATCTGAAAAATATTGTTGCAATCATTTCGAAATATATATTAATATTTAAAAGTCTTTCAATAAATGCATATTTAGAATACCAAATACTTAGTATATATTTAAAATTATTTACTCATTATTTTGTAGTTTATTATTCTTTAGTTTACAATCCGCCATTTATTTAATTTTAATTGCTTATTATTTTTATTTTATTAATCTTATTCCATTTGTGTGCAAACTATCGGATGTCTTAAATTAAATATGCTTGAAATAATTATTTTATAATAACAAAAGTAGAATAACTAAAGCAAATAGTAACTGATTGATGTATGTATATACATATGTATTTTGTGTTTATTTCTGAGTTATGAGATTTACGTTTTTTCTAATCAATGTAAACTTATCTCTGGCTGAGGATGATAACAAACTTAAGCCATATAAACGTTGAGTTTATTTATTGTATATTATTTTGCCATAATAATATACATATGTATTTAAATTAGTTCTGGATTTATTTGACTAGCATTTCATTGTGGCAAAATAATTTATAAAATTACATTAGTTTCTTCGTGTCTTCAGTGTTACTTATTATATTTCATTTTATGCAGAACAAAAGTTTGGCAAAATTGATTTAAGTTTTTTCTGGCTACTGATGGCGCTTTAAATATTTACGTTTGGTTCTCCCTCTTGAAGAGATCGCACAGCAGAGAGCTAAAAAGCTGCGATAAGTTAAGGTTAGTTAGCTGTGGATGTTTCAACAAAGGCACAAAAAGCATGCGCAGAAGGGAAATAAACGAAAACAGAAACTGAAACAAAAACAAAAATGATTTATCATAATGGTAGTCGGCGACCTGAAGACTCCCAACAGAGTTGCCTTAAACGGCCGATAACAGCAACAACAACAACAACAACAACAACAGCAGCAGCAGCAGCAACAATGACGCGACGACGCGACGCGACTGGACCGAAATGTCAACTCTTCATATAAAAATTAACAAAATATAAATTAAAATAAATAAACCAGAAATATGCGTTTTGTCGGGATGCGTTTCTGTGTTGGTTTCTCTCGGTTCTCTTGGTTGTTTTTTTTTTTTTTTGTTATTTGTTATTTTTTGTCTTTGCCTGGGCAATTTATGTGTGGAGCATCCCTTTTGGATATCGAATTACGCCTGCGCCTGTTGCGACTCTGGAATCTCTCGGACTCGGGCACAAATTATGAATGCCTGCGTCGCCGGCTCTGAAGCTTATCGAGCGAATGCATCGCTGCGTTTATATTTTTATATACATATACAGCTCTCTACCGTTTTTGGTTGTCTTTCTCATTTTTCTGTTATCTATGGCAGCGCATTTTTATCTAACGGCCGCAGCTTCCACGCATCTGCCCATTGATTACTCACACACGCACAGCAGGCCCTCGAATTTGTATGTTCGACTCGATGCTGACTTATGACAGGGTCGCTCCTATCAGAGCTGAACGTTGATAGCTTCATGAGCCGCGATAAGACGCTCGGGCGCCCAAGTCAAGCGCTAATTGCCTTCTCCCAGGCGCCGGGCATTGTCTGCTAGAGCGAGAGGGAGGCGAGCGGTAGCTGGGCTGGCCTGTATTTCCTTCTTTTTTTTTTCATTTCGTACCCAGGTGGCAGGCGCAAGCGAGATCGCGAGCTCAGACGGTATCAGCTGCTTGTTATCGCCAGACAAATGCATTTTGCAAATTATTAACATACTACACGTTGTCTGCCTGCATCTGTATGGGTGAGTGCTTGTATCTGACGCCTGTTGGCTGCTGGTCTCGGCTCTGGCTCTGGCTTTGGCTGTGGCTTTGGCTGTGGCTTTGGCAACGGGCAGCAGCTAATTGAAGTCAATGCACAAAACTTGATTTATTTCTATTAATAAAAGCCCCAAATGCAATCATTTTGGCAGGCTAACACACAACAGCCCCACATGCAGATATGCGAGAGTGCCCCATGAGAAATTCGCCAATCGCATATGTCTAGTCTGATTGCTTGGGGAACTAATCTGAAAGTCACTCTGCAAGCTAAAGCTTAAAAATTAAAGGCTATATTCCAAATAGCTAATTTATATATTCTAAATCATAAATTTAATTAGCTTAAAGCATATACATATATGTATGTATATATAGATTCTTTATTGTAATCTCTTATTAAATATATTTTTCAGCAATTTTTAGTGAATGAATGAATGAATTGGCTTATCAGAGGTTGATTTGAGTGCCTATTTTTTTTGTTTTAATAATATATATTTAATTATTTGAATAAGTAGTCCGTTTAAAAAAAGCATGTGTTTGCAATTTGTTATGACACAAATTAGCTAATTGAAGACAGATGGACTAATATAATTATTGAGTTACCCAATGTCAGATGACCTAAATGTGAAGAATATATACATACAGATAATATATACATGCAAATAGAACAAGTAATCGGGTCTGAGAAGGTCTAAAAAGGTCTATGAAATGCTGATAGGAACTGAAACTGATTCTTGTGAAACAGGGAGAGAAGGAAAGAGAGAGAGAGAGAGAGAGAGAGAGAGAGAGAGAGAGAGAGAGAGAGAGAGAGAAATAAGAAGCAATTGATAAAGTCTAATCTGTTATTAAATAATACAATAGAACAACTCACTTGATTAGTGACTTAACGTTTATTTATGTGTTTCTGTATGCACTCTGTGCACTCGCATTTCCTACTGGGTGCCTGCATATGTGAGTCTGGTCAATAAATCGCTCGCTTGGCCACAATTACACAAACGAACAGCAGCAGCGAAAATAGTCAAAAAACCAAAAATGCGCCAATTGCAATAAATGCAGCTCCGTTGTTACTGATACTGCTGCTGCTGCCGGTGATGCAGTTGTTGTTGCTCTTGTTGTTGTTGTTGTTGTTACTTCGATAAAAATCACGTAAAAATTTAGTTGCATAAATTTTAACACCGATTTTAATCGACGCCATGTCGCCGGCTTAGACAACTCATTGAGCTGCTAAGCGTGAGTTTTATGCACACGAAAGCAAACGAGAGAAGAGTATATTGGTACTCCATAATTGATGCTGTAAGACTGATTCCTATGTATCTATTGTAGGGCAAGCTAAAACTCTTTAATATGCTTAATAATAACAACTTGAGTTTCTGAGTTAATCTGCTTTAAGATCTTGAGCGAGTATAAGATAGTCGTTCATACCCGACATATAATGTTCTGCACTGTTTTTTCATTTTTCTCATATTTTTTTTTCTTCATCAACATCGAAATCGAAATCGACGTCGACGTCGACATCGACAACGATCGACACTTTACGTGGCAGCGATTTTCGCTTGTAATTACGGCCAGCAGCAGTTCCGGTGTCTTGTTGTTGTTGTTGTTGTTGTTGCTGTTGCAGTCGATGTGGCTGCCGCTGTACTCTATAATTTTGTTATGCTCGTAAATTATTGATATGTCAAATCAAATGCTGGGCATGTTTTGCAGCCAGGCACACCACAAATTTATGGCTCACAAGTTAAATTGGCCGCAAACGAAAACTGGTCAAAAAGTAGCTGCACAATATATAAAAAAAAAAGATATTCCAAAAAAATTTATAATAAAAAATGGTTTTTCAAATGGTTTTTTTTTAAATATATATAAATGAATACAAATATATATAAATATTTGTGTATGAGAATATATGTTTTCGTGTAAATTTATGACCAATAAAAATAGTACTGGAAAATAATCATATTATAATAATATAATTTACTGATAACAATTAAAAGAAAAACTTAAATTTTCAAAAAAAAAAAAAAAAAAAAAGAATTAAAAAAATGAAATGTTCAAAAATTTTTTTTTCATTACTTTGAAGTTAATATATAGTATTTACTTTTACTTACCATTTTGTTTTATTTTTTTTTTATTTAAAAACAGTACTTATAAAAAAAAAAAGTATAGTTTTGTAAAAATACTGTTATATAAAAAATTATTTAATTATTATTATTCATTTTACATACAAATTATTTTTCGCCATTTGCTATAAATTAATCCTTTTATTAATCAATGCAGTTCTGTGAATATGTGTAAATAACACTATTTATTTATAGTATGGAGCTGAAATAAAATAAATAATTATATTATTATTTTGTACATATATTTACATAATCATATTTACAAAATAATAACATAATTAAGTTTTTTTTTATTGATCATTTATTTTTAGCCGTCTACTATAAATAAATATTAGTATATCTTCTATTCTAAGAATATTTTTTTTATATGTGAAGTAAAATTATGAATATTTTGTTGACCATTTTATTTTATTTGTTTTTCTACACATTAAATTATTTTCTTGATAATTAAAAAATTGTATTTACTTCTAATTTTAATGATACTAAGCGAATTTATAATTTGCATATAACAATTTGAAAACTTTTCAATCTCATCTCGTAGGTGGACCACAAATATTTTTGGGACTGAAAGTTATTCCGGACAGCAGCGCATGTAAAACACTTTGCTCAACAAGCCGCCTGCATAAGCGTTGCAGTTCACCTCGCCTCGCCTCGCTTCAACTCGCCCTCCAGCCGACGTCTGCTCTGTTTGCGTCGAGTTGTGTTCCTGGCTGGTCGAAAATGTACACAATTTTTCGAATTTCCTCATGTTTGGGGGATTTGGCGCTTTTTAGTTTCGCTTTTGGCCAGAGTTTTGACATAACTGGAGCGGCTCGCGGTAGATGGGGAAAGGGGCATGGAAAGGGTGCTCATATGTGGAACCTGAGGAGGGAGGCAACCTGATTTGGACGTGGCTCGCGCTGGCGTTGTCTAACAAAATGCTCAAATGCTTGTCTTGGCCATTTGCATTTCGATCTTTGGGTAAATGGCCAGCAAACAGGCCCACAAATAAAAGCAAAACATAGGAAAATCCTATGGCAATAAATGTTTTCCTATGCAACATTACAAACACAACGAGAATGTGGATTTGGGTTTTGGGACTTTTGGGTGCATTTACTGTTGTGATTATATGCATGTGTGTGCATAAGTGTGTGTGTGTGTGTGTGTGTGTTAGTTAGGCTGCAATTGGGCTGCAGTTGCAGTTCGACTTTCACTTTTCGACTGCCAAATGGCCATTTGGATATTTCGGGTCGATTTAGCCTGGCTGCGCTTTAAATTTATGTTGATTGCCCGAGTTTGTTTTTGGCTAAATGCTGTTAAATTGTTTTTCCGTTTTAAATGACGTGCATTTGACAAATGATTAGGCCTAGTTTGCGGTCGCAGATTTAACCTCGACCTATTATACACGAATGCAGTTTTTGTCAAGGAAATGGCTTGCAAATGGAACGGAAAATGCTTGGCTTCAGTTATGGCAAAACTGTCAACAAATGTGCTAATAAATCAAAATATTAAATCAAGGGAAGAATAGTATTTTTGTTTGAATTAAGTTGATATACTATCGAAAATATTAGAGTAAAATAGTTGGGTCTTAGCTGAATTTTTTATCTCAATTTGCAGCTCTCACTTTACTGATTTAATAACTTTGACAGCAGCTCACTCAGCGTAAATATATTTTCTGTTAAAGCCAATCTTTAGCATCTAGATAAATCTCTGACTTATCTGCAATGCGTTCAGACTTCCCTTTGTGCTCGTAAAATTCGGCTGCTCCGCAACATTGTTACAATGTTTTCTTTCCTTTCGGCGAATCATAAAACATGAAATACTAAAGTCCGCCAAAAATCTCAAACAATGTCAATACCAAATAAATACTAATAAACTACGGGTCAAGAGCGCCGCAGCCGAGGGTCTCCTTTGTGTACTACATAAATTTCAATATTTATGGTCAGAGGCGAAAAACGGCGAATGCTACCGAAAGGGCACGGAATCAGAAGAGCTGCTACTCTGTGCAGAGCTGCGTCCCTTATGCTCTGCTCAGTCGGTTCCCCCTTTTTGTTTTGGGCATTTCTGGCTGGGCTCATCTTGGTTTTTGTGTAGGCGTATGACAAGCACAGCCGATGTGGGCGTTACCCAAATAGAGGCGTGCGGCGTGCGACGTACGCCGTTTTCGCAGGCAACTAAATATACGACTTTCATTTCTATGTAACTAACGGCAGGAGAGCTCGCGCCTCGACATACGGGAACTGGCCTCGCTGATCCTGTTTCAGGACCTGGTTGAGCATCATAAATCGCCGCGACATAAATTCAGTGTAGTTTTGACATTGTTGCCTACCTGGGCGCAGGCACCTGACACAGGAATTGTTTTTGGCTGCTGCTGCTGCTGTTGGTATTTCGCACGCTAATCTCTGTAAACAAATCACTAGAGTAAAATATAGAGAGAGAGCATGAGTATGGACTGGGCGTGCCGGGCCATGTCCTTGGGGACATGTTGTTGCTTTAATTGCTGCCAGACGTCGCAAATTTATGAGCATCAATAAAGTGTCAACTTTTGTTTTGGCTACAAAAAGTCGTTGAGAAGCATACAAAAAACGCAGCTCCTGACTGTAAATCATCCGCGTGACTTTCCTGGAAAGCAAAAAAAAAAAAAAAAGAGCTAGGCTCGCTACTACAGTTAGCATTACCGGCTAGGGACTCAACGCTGCAACTGCAACTGCAACTGCAACTGCAACTGCAACTAAAACTGCAGCAGATGCTTAACTTGGTCCAGACATGCAAGCCAGGCCTTGGTTTTGATTTTGCTTCTGTTATTTGGTATTTGCATTTCAATTGAAGCGAGTAATTAATGTATCGCATATCTGCAGAATTTTAATTGCCAAGCCAATGCACTCGCCACTCGCAGATGCATCACTCATTTCAATAACACTAGGCAGCAGGAAATGCGAGAGAAATGTGTGCGAAAATGACTCAAGTTTAATTAAAATATAAATAAAGATATATGGATGAAAATAACCCAATTAAAATTTAAAAAAATCGAAATATAAATAAAGATGAAATATTTTTAAAAAATTTATGTAGAAAATAATAATAGGGGCTATTTATTTACTTAAGTATAAATAAAATGAAGATAACAAAATATGGATGAAAATAAATCTGATCAAATTTAAGAAAAAAATTTTTTAATAATGTTTAACCACAATAATAACAATAATGAAAGAAAAAACTAAACCAATTTTAAATCAAATATAATAAAAAAAAATAAAGAAATATAATGAAAATAAATCAACAACAATTTATAAAATACAAAATATGATTAAAAATGAAATATAAAAAAAATTAATAATATTAACAAATGAAATGAAACCTTAATAGACTTTGATTAAATAACAATAATTAGTACATAAAATAAATTCAAATAAATATAAATCAAATGCAGAAAGAGGCGAACTTTATAAGATACGAAATATAAAAAATCGTAGCCAATTTTAACCAATTTTAAAAATGAATTTTGAAAATTTTTAAGCTAATCAAAAAAATGTTATACAAGATTTAAAATAATAAGTAAAAATTATCTAAATAAATATATATTATTTCTGATTACATTTTCTACAATTCATAAAAAAAATTTTTCATTTAATTTTGAGTGCACTAAAATTTCGATGTACATATGTATTTTCAAACAGATGCTGCAATATATTTTGACAACATCAGGGTTACTTCAGTTCAACAACAACTGTTCCATAACATATTAGACCTTGTTCGATGGTGTAATAGGCGCGCGTGTGGCCCCGTCACGTAGTCTGCTCAAAACTTAAGCCTCAAAAAGGCAGCTGGGCTGTCCACCACAACAGCAGCAGCAACAACAACAATTAAAATGTGGAAAGGGTTTGCTCATATTATTCAATAGATATATGTATAGAATGTTTCGCAGTAATCTAACAGAAAACCACAAGTGAACCACAAGCAGGCAACGGCTTGGACTGGACCGAAAATCCTCGACTCGGAATACTAGCGGCGAGCGTTGCGAATGCTCAATGCATATTCCTCTGCGTTGGCCGAGAGCCCAAGTAAAATGAGAGAGGAAGAGAAAAAATAAAATAAAATAGAAAACAAATGCTAAAAGTGGCTGCTGTTGCTGCACGTGATGATTGCATCATTGTGTCAGCTTAGTACGTGCCCCACAACGTTCGCTTGTCACATAAAAAATGACACAAAATTCTCGGCATTTGCTGCATTATAAACTTTTGCATGCTGTCGACAGATGTTTGCTTGGCAAAAAAAAAAAAAAAAAGAAAACCAAAATAATAATAATAATATGAGAAACAGAGAAAAAGCGAAAGAGCTGTGTATTATGCCACAAAATTTTGTTTACCGAAACTTATGGCAGGCTCTCGTGTCGTTTGAGCCGTGCCACAAGCCAAGCACTTGACACTTGCGCTCTGGGATTGGAGAATCGAGACCAAAAGCCTTTATTTTCGAGTGCGATTAGCCAATGGGTGGCTAGAGATGAGACATAGGAATGAGCAGATAGACTCTAACCGAGCTTGGGCATAATATACATATTTTGATGCAGATGTTAATGGGTCCTCTAGGATCGCTAATGCTAGCTTTGTTTATAAAGTAGTTGAGGGAGAAATAGACGAAGAGAGTTATAAAGATTTTTCCCTTAAAATATTTTAAATGTA